GTCAGCAGATTAAGGGGCAACTAGCCCTGTAAGGAAAGCAGCTTCCAAATGTATTAGGAGTTGAATGGATATACTCGTATATGGGTTATTCACTATTTTAGTAACTTCTGAGTTGATGCCACATTCTTTTCATGTACATTCTGGAAGCATTATTGTCAAACCTTAACAATGTCCCCCTACGTTCTTGAAATGGACACAGGGCTTGGAAGAAGCAATATAGAAACAGTGTGAAGGGGCCTCCTGGGCCATCTAGTCTGACCTCCAGCTCCAGTAGGCTCCGCTCATGACATGCCCACCATGTGCATGCCTAGCCTATCTTTGAACACCCACACCTCACCGATGGGGCCTCAACCACCTCCTGTGGAACTCCATTCCATACCCTCAGGGTCCTAACTGTCAGGAAGTACATGAAATATGTTTAGAACTATTCATTTCCCCTGCTACCATATAAGTCTTGCACACGAGAGGTTATCAGTTTAATCCCTGCTGTTGAACAAGGAATCCCAGACTTCAACCCCAATCTTGATTGCTGAAATTCTGCCCTTTCCCTTCTGATCACAGATCAGTTCCTGGTTCCCTGGCTTTGCATGTCCCTGCCCTGAAAAAGGATAAATGCCCCTCTCAAGACTTACTGACAGTAAGAGTTTTAAGTTAAAATATGCAGATATTTGGGGGTATCTTGCTCTGCCCCATTTGTCTCTGGGCCCCCCCAAGAATCTCCATGAAACTGAAGTCACTCTCAGGCTGAACAGGCCTCAGGATCCTGGTTTAAAACATTTCAAGTAGCAGCAGGGCACAAATGATAGATTTTCCTATTAAGATCAAATTAAACTAATGCAAGTCTGGCAAAATGGTTAGAGTGTTGGACTGGAACTTGGAAGATCTGGGTTCTAGTGCTCACTCAACCATGAAGCTCACTGGGAGACTTTGGGCCTGTCGTGGACTTTCAGCATGAATTCCCTCACAGGGTTGCGAAGAGGATAAAATGGAGAAGAAAAGCAATCTTGTAAGCTGCTTTGGGTTCCTTGCAAGATGAAGAAAGGTGGGATACAGATCAATGCAATAATAATAACTACCACCAAAGAGGGTAGCCAATAGAGGCATAGATAATCACTGGTTTAATTTTTATTTAAAAAACAATACAGGTGACCAGAATATGTGGAAGTTCCCTTCTACCATTCCATGGCAGGAAAATCAGAGGGAATGTACTCCCATCAAAATTATTGGCAAGCAATTGTGTGACACCCAAAACTTACATTTAAAATAAAACTTCACCTTTGCATGACCCAAGCTTTGCCTGTATGAAGACTCTAGAGTGAATTCTTGAGAGTTTCCAGCAAAAATGTTTTGGTAGAAGAAATGAAGAATTTTGTTGGTGGCTCTGGGTACAAGTTGGCAACAGTTGAGCAGTCTGCCAGGATCTTCTACTCTCCAACTTTCACGACTGCATGTGACGTGATTCCAAAATATATATTCAGGATGAACGGTTGCCTGCTTGTACTTTACTGAGAGTCGGTGTGGTGCAGCAGTTCAAGTGCTGGACTGGGAACGTGGAAGATCTGGGTTCTAAAACCCACTTGGCCATGAAGTTTACTGTGTGACTTTGGGCTAGTGACTCACTCCCAGCTCAACCTACCTCACAGAACTGCTGCTGTGAGAAGACGATGGAGCTATGTAAGCTGCCTTGGGTTCCTCATAGAAGGAAAAAATATGGAATATAAAGGCAATATAATAATAATACTCTTTTGCAGGGTAGCCTGATAAACAAAAATTAACATGCCAGCCTACTACCCTCCATGAAGAGAGCTATTCTCTGCTTAGGGTACAGGAATCTCTAAGGGCTTTTAAACATCGCATCTGTGATGCTATAAATGCACAGCTGTCAACTTACTTGTGCTCAGATCATTATTTTCCCTTAAAGTTGTGCTTGCTCTGGCAAATTAAATCTTCCCTTTCTCAGAGACTGTAGCCATGCCATAGTCACATGAGACATGGGTGTGCAAGTATTGACACCTGCTAGCAGCTGACTAGCAATGTGAAAGCTGATGAGTAGTCAATAATCTACTGCTGTAGCAAGCAAGTGTTCCCCAACTGAACTGTTTGCACACTATTAAAGTTGGCTTTTTTTGGAAAAGTATTGAACATGAGTGGCCTTCTTTCCAGAGGAACAATCCTCTACTTTATGAATTCATAATTTTAATTATAGCCTTAAACCTTGGGAGGATGCATAAGAAGGCTTTCTTAAGTATTCTCTCTAGACCAAGAGCATCCACCAAAACTTTTTAATGGTACACTCATCCCTTTCTAACAAGATTGTTTGCTCTCTCTCTTCACCTGACTACAGGTGAACTGGGAATCATGCTACTGATGATTTGGATATAAATTTTCAGATTGTCCACATCAGCATTGACTGAAGGGGCAAATAAAAAAGCAAACTGGAAAGAGCTAGCTTATAGGAAACTTCTGCTTTAAAAAAACAAAACAAAACATCCCAGTAAAGCTTTTTTTAGCTGTATTTTGTCTATTTAGATTAAAGTTGGGGCGTCCATTATTTTGCATTATCAATAGAAGCTACTCAGTTTAGTTCTCAGAATCTCCCTGGTAGAGAAGGGACTAAAGAACTGTACGTAAAGGATGGGAAAAAGCCACCAACTCCAACACGAAATGTCTTTTCCCCCTCCCAATAAGATTGTCCCAATGACTAAGCCACAGAACTTATCACACTGTGTCAGAGGCAGAGTGGAAGTGTATCAGACAGCCCCAGATAACTCAAAAAAGTGAGCCCAGCTTGTCATTTCTATGATCAAAAGAATCAGCCGCAACACTGCCATGGAAAATGAACTTGCAATTCCCTGAGCTGTTTTTTTAATTGATCCATTTTCTATAACCCTTACCCTTCCTCATCGATTCGCTGTGCTGGCTGATATTTTCACGTCCTGAATCGTATCTAAACCCCACTTATATTGCAAAGGTTGCACTTTGTGTTTATCCTGTAAAGTCAGTAGAACACATTAGGAGGTGCATCAATGGTTTAAAAAATCAAGTCCAGGAGGACTGATGTGAAATAGAAAACATGCCTTAATACCACTATATCCTCCTTCATTTTGGCCACTGAGCTCAAAGGCCCCTGAAACCAAGTCAATTTCCCGAAGAGATATGAGCTATTAATTTAATCTGCCAGCAGCTGCCAGAAGCCAGAAAAAGTCTTCTTTCTCAGTAAGTATTTTAAGGTTTCCGAGGAAGATTTGAGAAAAGTTCCCTTCTAAATAAGGGAATAATATCCACACAGTCCAGCACCGAGAATGTTTTTATATGCCTTGGTCATTAATCCTAATCATGATATCCCCATAATGCAGAAGGGGAGTTGAAGCCCAGCCCACACAGAAGTCCAGGCCAAAAACAAAAAAACCAAAACAAAAAAACTCACAGGATAACATTGAAGGGAACTAAATGATCAACTATTTTATTCATAACTGCATTTCTACTACCTTGGATGATGCTCACCAGGTACCAAATATTGCCTATAATGACTTGTCTGTCTTTTTGCCCCCTATCATGGCTGAGGCAACTAAAGACTGCCTGCTGAAACTTTTAGCCACTACACTGCTTCAGTTCATAAGAGCAAAAAAGACCTCTGCTGGGTCAGACCAGAGGTTTACCTGTTCCCAAATTCTATTATCAGAGTGACCAACCAGGTGCCCCCAAGAAGCCCTCAAGCAGGGCATGGGTGTCACGCCACCCTCCTGCCCTTGCTCATGTCCCCCAGCAACTGGTACACAAAGGCAGGCTGCCTCTGATGCAAGAGGTGCTTATTAGCAGCATGACCAGTAGCCATCAATAGCTTTATCCTCTGTGAATTTGCCTAATCCCCTTTTAAAGCCATCCAGGCTAACACAGATTCGGTATCTCAGTGACAGTCCGATGAAGTCAATATTTTAATGGACGGTCCCATTCGCCAATTTTCTCTGACAGCAAGAATTTTTCCTGGTGGCTCGCTTAAGGGCTGTCCAGGACTCAGCTCCTTGGCGTCGCCATCACTCCCTGCAGTCCATGCAGCATGAACTGAGAAGTACACCTCAGAACCTCTTTGGGCAGCAAAGACCCAAACAATCAGTGTCGACTTATTCCTGTCCCTGAGGATGCCTCGCTCACCTCCTGTTCACTTCCGGAGCCCCATCCACCAGCAAGTGAAAGAGGACCTCTGAGACTGAGCAGTGCACCTTTCACCCTGCACCAGTCTCATCCGGCAGCTACTATTGGTTAAGTTTCGGGGGTAATGCAGGATTCTCCCAGCCTCGGCTGGGAAACTGACTGTTTCTCTGGTTTCCTCAGAAACACTTCATGGCAGGATCCTTTCAGTGGGGACCCTCACAGCCCCTGCAGCTCAAAGTAGTTACTCAGTGATGTGTTGGACTCTAGCCAAGTGTTCAGTCCAGGACTTGGACGTGTTGCAAGGTACACGCTTACCACGGCTATCTTGAGAAAGTCTTCCAAACAGATTTGCTCCCAGTTACCTTGACATCAATCATGAGATTACACCCAAGCCAGGCACTTCTCTGAGGGCCTGAATTCCTTCCTCCCAGTCGTGGCTCCCTGCACACCCCTGTCCCACAAGCCCATTGGAGGGCCAGGAGGGATCAGCTACTGAACATGGGAAGAAAACGGTACTTCTGAGCACGCCTTATCAGCCATGCCACGTATCTACTACAGCCTAAGTTAGCTTTCCCCAACCAGTGGCCCTCCAGAAGCCTTGAATTCCAACCAATAGTACTGTGCAGGAATAATGGGAGTTGCAGTCCGCACCTGGAAGGCACTCAGTTGGGGCCAGGATGCAGAGCTAGGCTTTCTTGAGTTCCCACAGCGAACCCCTGGGGCATGCCTTCTTCCCTCACGGGATGCGCCAGCCCAGCGCTCCCTGCGCCCCGCCGGCCCCCAGGCGCCCCCTACCCCCGGACGGCTCCGCTGCCGCCTCCCCCGGGAGGGCTGCGCCCGGCTCGTACCACCGCGAGGCGCTCCAGGTCGTCCGGCTCGAGGCACGTGTAGTTCTCCAGCAGGTTCCACTTCTCCTGCAGCAACCACTGCGCCTGCTCGCGCTCCACCGGCGACTCCAGGGCCCAGAAGGCGGCGCTGCCCAGCAGCAGGTAGCTCACGTAGGCCAGCAGCAGCAGCGGAGTGGCGGGCACCCGCCAGCGCCCGGTTGTGGAGGCATCCTCCGCGGCCGCCCTGCCGCCGCACATCTTCTCCTTCGCGGCGCGTCTGCCCGGCGGGTTCACCGGGGGGCGCCGCTGAGAGGCTGGCGGGGCGGGGCGGGAAAGCGAGGCCGCCGCCGGAGGGCGAGGTGTGCCCTCCCTCGAGGGAACGCCGGCGGCGCCCTGGCTCGCCTCCCGCTGCTTGGGCGGAGTTAAGGGGAAGGAGCGCCGGTCGCCTTTCTGAGCCGCGCTGGCGAGCACTTCAGGTGCCGGCGCTTCCCCGGGTGCTGGGCGCCGCTCCGGGTCTGATGCTTGAGCCCGCGTGTGCTCAGGCCGAGCCTCCGAGAGCGCCTCCGGGCAGCCTGCGGAGCCCCATACCCTCCCACCGGAGTTTGAGCACGCAGCTTGGGCTTTCGCTCAACGCAGGGAGAAAGGGGCTCGACGACCTTTGGCCTTCCAAGCTCTCTGACCTACATCTCCCCTCAGCCCCAGCCAGTGGAGGATGGGAGTTGTGAGCCAGGACAGTCTGGAGGGTCACAAGTTGTCCGCTCCGCTATGTCATGGAAAGAAGGAGCTTAATATTCTAACCTGAAAAGGGGGGGGGGGGGATATGTGAGCCTCTGTTGCTTGGAGCTGGTGAAAATTTTAGGTGAAAACATCTGGAGGGACAAGAACATGTGAAATGCAGTTGCAAATAAAAGTGATGGAGGAGGAGGAATGATTTGAGCATGCGCATAGTGTGTTTTCTTCACCCAGTAATTCTTGCTGCCCAGACCTATTGGAAACTAGCTACTCATGTTCAAAACTAAGCACTGGTGCCATGTCCCTTTCCACTAGGAAGGGTAGACAGAAACGACTGGGTGGCAAGATGTGCCTTCTGCTGCCACAGTTGCTCACTTACTGCCTCTGGTCTCTGTGAGTTTCACTGAGCGTTTGAAAGTGGACTGGGGACCACTGTGGAGAGAGCCAGAAACTCCCAAGATCTGGAGAAGCTTTGACTCAATGGCCAAGTATACAGTGGGCATGCGTAAGACCTCTGCTTCAGTCCCTGGCTGTCTCAGACTACAAAGGCGATGGGTGGATGTTTTAAATTTCTTTCCTTTCATTGTACTTACACATATAGTCAAAGCAGGTGCCAATATTCTTCATGATGGGAAGCATACATGCTAAATAAGCTCATTTGCAGGATAGCTCAGCTACTTGTAGCAAAGAGATGGTTGCAACTTTGAAAGTATGCAATTTTATGCATACTTAAAATTGGAATAAGCCACCCTGAATGAATACAGAGGGACAGGGGCTATCTTTCAAGTAAGCATCCATAGGACTTCAGTCTGAAAAATGAAGCCACACTAGTCTTAAAGGTGGCCTGAAAGTAATGTTAATAAATGCATGCATGCCTTGGTTGTGGGCTACAGTCCTTCCATATTTCAGCCCCAGCTGTGCAGAAAGTGTTGTTTCAGGCCAGGAATGATTCTGTTAGTAGCAGCCCCAACCAAGCAGTGAAGATCCCCTCACACACACACACACGAAGCAATGGGGATCACTCCTGAGATTGTACAGGACTGCAAAATATTCATTGACTCTACAAGCTTTGCATTATTGGGCAGTTTCTTCAGCTTCCTGATGAAGCTCTTATACTGCAATTGTTCTGCCACAGGCATGGAATTTTATAAGAGGTCCAGGCATCATCTTCCATTGAAGTATCCCTGTGTTTACCCAACCACTTCTTCCATCTTTTTACTTGCAGAACGAATATCTGTGAAGGAGGAAAAGATGGAATAGGAGCAAAACACCTTTTGATTGGTGGCATTAGAAGCTATCCATCTGGAAGCACCCACATTCACTGACCCATCTCACTGCTCTTGAAACTTGTGATGAATTAATGCAACTTAGAGAGACTTCCATAGCACATCCTGTATCACTGAAGCACAAAGCAGTAGCAGTCTCAGCAGTCGCAGTCCAGCAGGAACTGAAACCGTGTGGTTGAATGCAGAGGGAACTCATTATTTTTAGTCACAGATCAAGGCAACATGCTTTAGTCGCCTGCAACTGGATTGACTGGGGGAAAGAGGACTTATCATGAGTGCTGGGAAGCAGAGCACCCTCTTGCTGCCTCAGAATAGCCCAGAAGCAATGGAGAAATGTGTCCATGGCCTTTCACCCTTTTCCTTTGAACAATGTCCTGGATGAAAGCTGAAGGGGCTGGAAACTGATGCCATAATACAAGAAGTTGGGGAGGATGTGGCAGTTCCTAACTACCAACATATGCATATAAGTACAGGAATATAGGGGTAAAATGTCACCATCCACAAGAGCACTTTGGGCAGTCTACACAATTTTCTCTTGTAGTGACCTACATCTGAATGTTTGCAGAACACCAGCTTAGAATATTTTCCATCAGTAGAGTGCTCTCAGGGTATTGATTGGACTCAAACCAGCCATTTTCCTGGACAGGAAAAACAGTACAAGTTTTCCTCTTTGGTGTGGGACCTTCGCTGGGCATCAGGGTCTTCCTGGTGTGCTCATTTGCTCTGATTCCTTAGCCCTGTCTGAGCATTCTCACTAATCACATGAGTGGGAGAGCAGGACTGCACTCATTGATACCAGTCCTCTGCCATGTTCCCGTCACCCATCCTCTGAGTCATTGCAGCTCTAAACCATGTAGGGATGCTACAGCATGGAAGGTGGCAGGGATGAGCAAGGCTGCATCTATGAAAGAGAAACCTGAGGAGGAATCTGAAAGCTGTGAACAGTTCTGTCCTTTCAATATGCTTGTCAAAAAGCCAAACAACAACAAAACAGCCCAGTGGAGGTAAAGAATAACTTATCCCAGCTTGAAAACTGCTTGCTTCCCAATGGTTTTGAGAACTTTGTTTCATTTTATCTTAGCAGCTGAACAGTGTGGAACAGAGTCACTTTATGGTGACTTTTCCCTTTAATCATAATCATGCCAGTTCAACCAATTTAGGAAAGGAGCTTTGGATTAGGTAGGCAGAAAATAAGCATTCTCTGAAACACATGACTGAGCTCCCTGAATCCGTGTATCAAAAATTCCCTTTGGTGAAACAGCTCTTCATAAGTTGATCCGCAAATTTGCTGCCAAAGCTTTGACCCCATTTACTATTCATGTTATTTAGCACCAATTCTTTATTGACAGTTTAAAAAATCCACAACTTCAACAGCCATACAATTTATGAAATATTAGAGAATTAGCTAGACAAACTTTCAACTTCTGTCTGCACATAACCTTTTACAATGCAAATTCAGGTCAGCTAGAGAATGCAGGAGGGGTTCACGTTCTCAAAACACTTTGGGGGACAGCCATATTGGCAGTATCAAAAATGGAGATGACACATTACATGAATCAATACAAAGTTATCTTCACATTTACATCCAAGTCACTTCTACCAGTGATGGAACAGCTCAATAAGTTCAGACATGGTAATAAAAGAAAATCTATGTGTGAGCCTGAAGAAGATTCATAATGTGTTTTTCAAGGAAGGCACTAGGTGATACATCAAATAACCTGCTGGAGATTAATATTCTGCTCTGTACGGAACTCCGTATCATATAGTAATTTGTATCATTAAAGTATTATGGTCTAGGAGTAGAGTAAAGGGGTGTCAGATTGTCCACATTTGGTGACAGACAAGTTAATTTGGTATGGTGTTGAATGGCTGACGTCAAGGCATGGGGTACTGTCTTGATCTGTGTAACATAACTATAAAGCCTCATGAAACCTTTAGAACGCTTTAAGCAGCATATACAATCCTTACGACATTTTGATTAAGCAGGCTGTTCATCCAATATGATCTGAAAAATCACTTGTGATACTACTTAGCCATAATTATTGGAATGGTCAGAGAAGGCTCATGGATGCATGAACTCTTTCTGATATTCCTATCTTTCTGTGAATGAGATGTCTAGTCCAGAAGTTGAAGGTTGTGTCCCAGTGCTTGTTCTCTTGAAATAAGAGACAGAAACAGAGTTTCAAGGGTAAGGATAGGGGGTTGGTTGTATCGAATTGAATGTCAGGAGTGGTGGCCAATGGGATACACGCCAACGGCAGGACAGAGCAAGGAAGGTAAAAACCATGCTAGTTAACATAGAAGCTACTCAGTCACCTGTCAGGAACATCCAGGTGAAAACTGCACACCGTAGAACCCAGGCAGCATTTGGTATTGTTGTTCATAAGAAGTTGGTGGTTTGGTGGCATTTGCAACGTTGGCCCAACCTATCCAGGAGATGCCACGAGACAGTAAAGTGCAGTGATTCATATTAATCCAGTGGCCTTTCCTGTAAGATTCTGCAGGTTCTCATCTTATTCTCTGTCTAAGTGATGTGAACATGCCACCTCTTGACAAGATCCTGAGGAACTGAAAGGGGCAGTGTTTAAAAACATGCAGGAGATGCTCTGTAATAGGCAGAGCTGGCTTCTGCTTTTGCATGTAGAAGCAGGAATTGAAGCTTGCATGCATTCTACCTTTTAAATTGTTTGCTCTCTATTCAACATGCTGTAAATAAAAATTGGTTTGTCATTCGTTTTAGCTGTTGACTGAATCTTTTAAACATTTCATACGGCAGTTGTGCACTCATTCTGCTACCCAGAATGAGCACCATTCTGAGTAGCAGAAGCCGAATCCATATTGGCAGAAGGACAGGGACAGGGAAAGGAAGTCCCTTGAATACTGGTTGGCCTAGGCCAGCTGGATTCCCAGAATGTTGATCTCTGACCCAGAGTATAGTGGAAGAGAAACCAGTGGGAATGCCCCATGGGCCATTTTAGATTCAAGTAACTCTAAGTGTGTAGTGTTTAAGTAAACCTAAACATGATGGGAGGGGGCTTAATTAGCAGATTGCCACATACCCAATCAAGATTTATGAACTTGGTACCAGGATGTGCCTGATTATTTCTTCACAGGTGAATCCAGGTGCATAATGCATATAAAAATTGACCACAAAGGTCAAAGCTGTTTAAGAGACTTCAGTCATCATTTCACAGTTTGCTTAAATAAAATGGTGGGCGTAGCTGCTTCTTGTTTTCATTGTATTAGCTCTAGAGGAAAAAATAATGCTATGCAGCAACCTTGATGATGTCAACTATTTCAACCATACATTATGGTCTGATCTGATAGTAGGCTGCAGTTATGTTTGCTCAAGGAATTGGTTTCATGGAAAATGTATGGCAAGTTTCAGTTCATTTTTCTCGACTGGCTTAATTTAGCTGCTTTCTACATTCACTCACAGGGATTCTTCTTTTCTGGGGTAAAAAATCTCCTTTCCCTTATGAAATTACTCACACACAGTGGGTTTGATGCAAAATGTCTTACAAACCTGGCTTTGTGGACATAAGGGAAGAGATACAGAAGTTCTCTTTGAAGTTGCCTATCCATGAGCTACAGTCAGCTGGGGATGCAGATCCTAGGCTGTTCTGGATTTTCCTCTGATTTGGTGGCACCTGCCTCCACAGTGGCTGGATTGGGCTTTTGCCAGTTCAGCTGCAGGAATTTCTCCATCAGGTCAGCCCCTAGGTTGAGGATCAGAGCGAGCCAGGCTAAGCCAAAAACAATCCAAATTGCAGCCAGGCTTCTATAGATGGAGATATAGTGCTTGTTAGGATCTGTGCCTAGGGGAAAAATCCAAGAAGACCCATACATTAGATTTAGTTCCCCCGTGATCTCAAGAAATATGCCAATAAGATGAACGCTGCACAGGTAAAGAGTGGGAATTCCTCCCATGTAAGTCAGTACACTTGTCCACACATTAAATATGGTGTGACTTTTTCTAGGTTACTCAATCTTTTATTCTATGCTGTATAAAATATGTATTTTATTCTATGCTGTGAGCCGCCCTGAGGCTTCGGCAAGGGGTGCCATAGAAATGTTTTAATAAATAAATAAAATAAATAAAATAAATATACCATAGGCTTAGGGGATGGAGCACTGCCCTTTGCAAAACGTGCGTGGCCAGCCTGATTATCTCCACCCTGCATTTCTCTTGGTCTACAATCACTGACAACCATCCCAGCATGCTACTTTCCATCCCTAGCCTAGCCTTGCCACTTCCGACCTGAGTGAGATCCAGATGGGCCCTCCACTGCACTTAGCCTGTATTCATGGACGCCAGTGCCCCGGAGACTTGCTACTTAGATCAGCAGTTTTCAGCCACCAGTCCATGGACCAGCACCATGGAGGGGGGCTGTCTGTGCTCCACCACCTCTCCCCGGGTTGGCATCGTGTTTGCCGGGGGGTTGGTGTGTGCTGGTGCCACCAGGGGGAGCTGGGGAGGGGAGAGACAGCTTGGTGGGAGCCAGCTGGCAGCCACACTGTTCTTTTATTGGCATTTTTTTGTTGCTTGGTTTCAATTTTTTTTTGGTATTGTGTTTGGAAACGAATACACAGAATACTGTATTATGTGTATGGTGCTTTTTGCTTCTTCTTCAGTGGTCCCACGAGAGGTTGTTGAGGCCCCATCGGTGCGGGTGTTCAAGGATAGGCTGGACGTCCACATGGTGGGCATGTCGTGAGCGGAGCCGGCTGGTGCCGGAGGTCAGACTAGATGGCCCAGGAGGCCCCTTCTGACTCGCTCTGTTTCTATGTTTTCCTGTCTTTGCTGGTCCCTTGTTGTGAAAAGGTTGAAAACCACTGACTGGAATATGGGAAGCGGCCTCATAGCATATCCAGGTCTTTGTCCAGCTAGCCAAGCATTGCCTGTTCAGTCTGGCTGCAGAACTCCAGGGTGGCAGGCTCTGGTGGGTGTTTCCCATTCCTTGCTACTGCCTCTTTCCAACCAGAGATGCCAAGAATTGAACCTGCACGCTGTCAGTGCACTATGATCTTTCCCCTAATGGACTGAGAGTGAGAGAGCAATGTATCTGAATCTAGTTCTAAAGAGCAGTCAGGGTTGATCTCCTCTAGGACTGACAGGTTTGATCACCTTGCAGTCCAAGGGACTTGCAGGAGTCTAGATAAACAGGACAAGCAGCACCCTATTGGCACTTTTTAATCTTCCTCCCTGGGGAATAACCATTCTAGCCAACACTGTTGGTGTCCGAATATGTTACCACCCTTCTTTTCATTACCTACTACATAGTCTCCAAAGCCTATGGTGCTGAGGGTGATGAAGGTGAAGTAGAAGCCTTCTCCATAAGTCCAGCCTTCCACGTAACTGAAGATCATAGGTGGGAAAACCAGGAAAAGCAGAGTGCCGACAGTCAGAAAGAACACCATTGTCAGAGCCTGTATGATCTGGAAAGCATAAGGGGAAATGGCAATTCATTTGCACCAGCTTCTATCCAAGATGACTTTATCTGGTTGACAGAGTAAAGAGCACTCTCAGCCAAACACTAGTTAAAGGCTGCCGCCATAGGTTAGGGGTCCCAAGTGCAGGCTGCCAAAGACTTCCTCCATGTAGCAGAGCTCCATGTCAATCGCCCATGGTTGTGAAAAGTCCCTTGCCTCAACCCCAGGGAAGTGAACTTGACAAAACAAAAAGAGGGAATGAAACAGAATGCAGAAATGGATAGTCAGATGCTTGCATTTCGTCTCGCTGGGAGAATCCTCAAGCCCAGTGAAGTCTGATATTTTTAAAAAATAGATTTAATTAAAATTAATAATAGTAATCTTGAGGTTTAGAATTTCTCTTGATTGCTCACTGTCCTATTTCCTGTGTATTTGTTTTCCTTATAAGTGGAAGTGATACATCCACTTTCATACATATCCTGGCGAGGGTGGCAAGGTCGGCATTTAGAAACATCCATTTTATGGACATTGTGTTTGCAAAGCTTAATTAGGAAGGCAGTGGTCAGATTGCTGATAGAACCATGTTGGTAACATTGGTATGAGAAGTACAGGGTTGGCAGTCTGGACAAAATTGTGATTTGGGTATAGGGCAGCCAGAAGCAAAATTGGACAGGGCTGTGTAGAAGGGAACTGTCATGCAAAGCACATTTGTTGCAGTTCCCTCTTCTTCATCACAAGAACCTGCCCTCTTTTGCCTCTGGAATGGAATGGAACGAAGCTAGAACATGTTCAGGAATGCAGCTCCCATGAATCCTGGGACACGGAATCTTTGTTCCTACTAAATCAAAATAAAGAAGAAATACCAGTTTGTGGGTTATACCAAAAAGCTTCCTTACCTCTGATTTATGACCTTAAACTCAGAAATGTGCACCCCGTTTCCAGAATTTCAAAACCTGATGCATACTGGGAAATGAATAATGCAAGCTTCTACATGTTTGCTGAAAAATAAACTCCCCTGAATTCAAGGGAGGCTTACTTTCCAGTTGGAAATGCAGCCGCAAATGCCTAATGCGGAGAACCCAAAGCACATTGTGTGATTTTTTCCTTCATCCTGATTTGCATTTCAGCTCGGTAGCATCCACTGGGCTGAACGCAACTCTGTTTGTGTCCACCGGCCTCTTGAGGAGAGGGCTCAGGCCAGCCCTGCTGCCCCCTTGCTGTAGCCCCTGCCTCCCATACCTTCCATAGACACACACAGCAGGAGCATTCCTGGTAGCAGAGGTGGGGGTGTGATCCTGGCGGCAGAGGACCAGGCATGCATGGCCCACAGTCTTCTTGCAGAGTGGGTGGATATCGGAGGCATGCGTGCATGGCCTCTGTTGCTGGGAGCAGGAGTGTTTGCTTAGAAGCCAGATGGTGTCTCAGTCCCCAGATGGCCATACCCCTTCTCCTGGCCTCACACTCTTTCCCTCAACCACCAATCTTTCGATGGGATGTGGATGGTGCAGTGGGTTAAACCACTGAGCTGCTGAGCTTGTTGATCGAAAGGCTGGCAGTTCAAATCCACATGACGGAGTGATCACCCGTTGCTTTGTCCCAGTTTCTGCCAAACTAGCAGTTCAAAAGCATGCAAGTATGAGTAGATGAATAGGTGCCACTTTGGTGGGAAGCTAATAGTGTTCTGTGTGCCTCAGCGCTCAGTCATGCCGGCCACATGACCACGGAAAGTGTCTGTGGACAAGCGCTGGCTCCCTCAGCTAAGAAACAGGGATGAGCACTGCCCCCTAGAGGCAGACACAACTGGGCTTAATGTCATGGGGAAACCTTTACCTTTCTACTTATTTCAATGACGGCATCTGTTATTGCTTTTGAAGTGGTGGAACTAGTTTTACTCAAAATTCTCAGTGGGGACAAGCTGCTCTGCTGAGTGAGGGCTACCAGTCTAGATAGAAATAAAGGAAATCTCATATTGGCAATATTCATGCAAGCCATTGCAGCTAAGGGAAGGTGTCCACATATCCTGGTTTGATTCCTTTATTCTCTAATGTTGCATTTGTCTTTAGAAGTGCTAAGAGGTCACAAGATGTCTGGCAGTTTCTCAATATGTTTGATGCCTAATGGAAGGCTGGGGTAAGGCTGCCATTATCCCAGGTTCCAGGCTTGGAAGAAAAGTGGGGTCTTATTGATGAGATATTAGAGTCCCTAACCTTTTTTGAGTCAGAGGAGAAATATGGGATTTTGAGAGTGTCATGGATGCCTTTACAAAATGGCTGCCATGCAGGGCTTGCTCATTCAGAAGAAGCTACCATGGTAGGCATGGCTGGTCACAAAACATTCATTTCCCAAAAGGCAAACTAGTGAGACTAAAAGAAAAGTAACTTATCACAGAACTGAAGTCCTAGGCAGAGTTGGGTGCAGAGCTCCAAAACGCAAAGTCACTCTTTTGACCCCAATGAAGATGGCACTGAAAAGCAGCACTTTACTTTGCAACATACCATCCACCTAGTTAAAAGTATTTTAATTTTTTAAAACCCTTAGATAAAAGGCATGGGGAGGGGCACAGGGCTGTTGGGCATCAAGATAAGCCTAGCATGCGGTGAGTTCAGTTCTCATTTCATGTTGGGCAAGCATTCACTAGGAAAAAGGACACAGTAGCCACTGGTAGCCTTGTGGAACTTTTGTGGGCCACTGCTTGAAGGTCCCTCACACCTCTTTTCCACGCCCTGTTGCACTTGGGGTGATGAAGTGTCAGCAGAGAGGGTATGTAGCAGCCAGGTGAGTGGGAACAGACTGGGCCGATGGTGTCTGAAAAACACTGTGTTGGATCCCAAAAGTTACTTACTGTGTATGAACTCTGTAAAGGTACCCATCCTTTATTCAGGACAACCCACCACTTCCCAGAACTAACAGATCATGCAAAAGGGATGGAGGAAGGCATGGGGAGTGGAGGTGGCTATGTTGCCCCAGCTGTCTCGGTACCCAGGCTGAGGCCTTCTGAGCTTTCGAGAGGGCCTCTCCGCTCCTTCCTATTCATGCTTGCTGCCCAGATGCCTACAACCCAACCCTTTTGAGGGTGAAACAGCCGCATGAGAGCCTTTCACAACTTCATCCCATGGCAAGCGCAGTTTGACTCCTGCAGCTTCCAGAAAAGGATAGACAACTCAGCCTACCTTGTGAAACTGCCCTGCCCAAAACCAGTCAATCCTCCTGACCTCCCTGGATTTAAGAGAGGAAGCAACTGCCCTATGAGGTGTGATTAGTCTAAGGCAACCCCACCTGCTCTAAGATGAGACATGAACATCATCCGTAAAAAGTAATGAAAACAACAATGATGAATAGGCAACATTACCCGAGCTCGGCCTGGCTTGTGGACCCATCGCTCCAGGTTGATCAGGTGAGCACTGAGCCCTTTCCCCAGCTGGTTGAGAAATGCCAGGTTAAGGGGCACTCCAAACAAAGCGTAAAATACACAGAACACCTGCCCAGGTACTGTGCTGGGGGCCAAGTTTCCATATCCTGTAAGAAAGGTGGAAAGAAAATAATTGTGCTCTCTAGTGGGGGCTCAGCACTTGGTTGACTTCTGCAAGTAACCATATTAGATGACATATGAATACACACACACAACTATGTGTGTGCATGAGTGTATTCCTTCTATATAAAGGAAATTAATTCCTACTCCTAATTTGTTACAAATACTATTGAGGAAGGCCATGATCCAACTGAACTGAGTGCTCCCATAAATTTCTAGCATATTCGTCATTGAAATCAAGGGGATTTAGGCACAATCCTATGGATGTTTAAACAGGGAAAAGTCCTTCAACTTCCAGCATGCTTGCTAAGTGGGCCACGCCAGAAGTTATAGGCCTTTTATTCTGTCTAACCATGCATAGGATTGTGCCAGTAACACAGTTTTGGTTGGTTCATGCTCTATACTGGCACAGCAGGTAACTTTTTACTTCCATGTTCATGCAAAAAGTAGATTTTACACATGCAAAATTGACATTTTCCTCATTCTATGGGAGGGCAATTATTCTAGAAAATTAGTCATGGAAAAAGTACACATAAAATGGGTGTTGGTTGAATATATGACTTTTTAAATATACCTTTCAATGTCTGACACACTTCTGAAGCAGATTGTTCCAGGAGTGATTGGTACCATCAGTCACATGTAATTCAGAGGTTCCCTGCAAAATTTGTAAAAGCCTAAAGAGGAAAGAGTCACAGGACAAGCCAAACCCCACAGTTCATCTTACCTATGGTGGTCACAACAGTCCCAGCAAAGAAGAAGCTGTTGCTGAAGTCCCAGTTACTGGGATTGGTTGAATTCCCTTCTGGGTTGATGCCTTTTTCCCAGGCTTCCATAATAACCTGAAGCAGAAACGTTTTGGGTGAAAGGAAAGAAGAATGGACTTATCAGCAAACAGGAGAGTGTTGTGGCTAAGTAATAAAGCACAAGTATAATATCACAGGTTCACAAGTTCCGTCCTATTCATAGGCTGGGAAGAGACACGTGCAAATCAGCTGATCTAAGCAGCACTGCTAGAAGCACCTTAGTTCTGGTGCAGCTCTCTAAGGTGTGGAAGAGCTTGTGCAAGATCATAAGCCAGCTATATTATGGTCCTGGGAAGATTCCTCTGCCTGACTTAAGCTTTCTTGCTTGAGATCTGAGCTGTTTGGACAACTTCAGGCACACCTCTCTTCTCTGCTTGTCATCATGGTCTAAATAGTGTGGAAGGGAGTAGAAAGGCCACTGGCTAAGGATCAGGACAGATTAGTGAGGAGATAGGAAAAGATACCTGTCAAATGTTTGAATGGGATGGGAAATATACCAGTTGAATGTTGATTGTATCTAGTTCCTAGTATTGTGAAGTCGCATGGCAAGTACCTGATTGCTGATTGACTGTATTTCTCATGTTTGAATTCAACAGAAGGTTGAATTCAGTGAAGGCCTTCTTTTTTACTGAAGGTTAACAATGTAGAAGACATTCCCGTAAACAGAAGAGGAGAAGCAACTTTTGCCAAGTTCCTGTTATGGAGTTACTATAACTACCAATGGCAATATCGCATTGCTCTTATACTTCCTGTTCCTGTCCTTTACCTTTGACCCGGATGCAATAACACTGTCCTTCATGACTCCTCGGACTAACCACTTGCAGCGTCGTCCTTTCTGTACATGAAACATGGTGTCAGAAGTGACTTGAATCTGGATAGAGCCTCTTGTTTGGAGTGCAACAGCCCCGGGACACAGCACTGATTTGTGAGTTACAGTTTGAGACCGTTCATTGTGCGTTTTCTGCTCCTGGAGGGCTGTGAGGCCTACCGACCCCGTGGCTGCCATGAATTGCATACCTCCCCCAGAAGGATGAAAATCGGTGGGGATGGTAGCAGCAACTGGGAAACTTTCAGAGCTGAATTTGAGGATTATTCCCTGGCTACAGGGCTGAATGCGAAACCTGCAGCAATGCAGGCAGCCACTCTGAGAAGAGTCATGGGCAGTGAATGCAGGCATGTGTATAAGCACAATCTGAACCTCTCAGCAGAGCAGCAGGAGAACGTTACAGCCATTCTGGATGCACTAGAAGCTTATTTCAAACCTGCTAAAACTGTCATTTATGAAAGATATGTGTTTGGATGCTGCAAACAAGAGGAGGGAGAATCTCTTGACAACTTTGTTACCCGCTTACGAGAAAAAGCAGCTACTTGTGAATATGGAACCCTGAAAGATGAACTAATAAGGGACAAAATTGTTCTTGGTATATCTAGTGAGAGCACATGCAGACATCTTCTAAGAGAGCGCGACTTAACGCTAAACACAGCTATTGAAACGTGTCGTACAGCAGAGCTTACTGACAGACATCTGAAAGTGATGGAACAGGACAGACAGAGAGACAGCATAAACTTTGCAATGCAGCGATGGCACATAAGCAAACCGCAAAGACAGCAAGACACGCTTAGAGCAAATACTGCCAACTCTACAGCATGCAAATTTTGTGGGACTGTGCATCAAAGAATTAAAGAGCAGTGTCCAGCATATGGGAAGTCTTGTAGGTCTTGTGGAAGAGCAAATCATTTCACTAAAGTTTGCTTGCCAAGTAAAAAACAAGTGTCATCTGGGAAATTACACACTATGGAGGATGCGCTTGCATATGAGGAGGAGCCACGCACCCCTGAAATGATATACAGCAGTGAATTAATCGGTGCTCTGCAATCCAGAGGAAAGAAATGCTTTGTCACTTTAATATTAAATAATAAGCCTCAATCCTGCCAGCTCGATTCGGGAGCAACATGTGATGTGATGTGCTTAAGAGACAAAATGACGTTAGCACCAGAAGTATCTCTACTGCCAAGTGACACCAAACTAAAGTTATACTCAGGCGAAATTATGAAATCTCTTGGACTGTTCCGGACAGAATGTGTTGTACGTGGACTGACACACAAGCTAGAATTTGAAATTGTGGAAGCTTCCCAAAAGCCACTGTTATCTGGCTCAACCTGTGAGCATCTGGGGCTGATGCATTTCTCCATCCCTGCAGAGCTCAATGCGATGGACAATCAATTTAAACGGCCCTTGACAAAACAACTGTTATTACAGGAATTTGGTGAAGTTTTTACAGGGCCTGTTGAATCTGTTCCGGGGGAAGTTCATTTTGACCTTGATGTGAGTGTCCTTCCAGTCCAGTGTGCACCACGCAATGTACCAGTGGCCTTGAAGAGGCAGTTAAGGCACAGCTTGACCGGTATGAGGCTGATGGTCATATCGCACCAGTTACCAAACCAACTGATTGGATTAGCAACATGGTGATTGTAAAGAAGCCTGATAAGCTAAGGATATGTATAGATCCCAAATTTTTGAACCAGGCCCTGAAACGATCTCATTACATAATTACATAATGCCAACTCTTGAGGATGTTTTGTACAAGCTGCCTAAAGCACATCTGTTCACAGTTGTTGATGCCCGGGACGCATTTTTACAGTGTAAGTTGGATATTGCAAGTAGCTACATGATAACCTTCTGGACTCCCTGGGGCAGGAAAATGTGGCTCAAACTGCCTTTTGGAGTTTCAATTGCACCAGAGGTGTATCAACGTAAACAACATGAACTATTGGGCGGGCTTAAAGGTATTGAACCAATAGCTGATGATATACTTGTAGTTGGCTGTGGTGATACAGATGGAGAAGCAGAGCAAGATCATGATTGCAAACTGCTGGACTTGATGGATCATTGTAGGCAAGTGAAACTGAGACTTGGCATGAAAAAACTGCAGTTCAAGGTCAAAGAGGTCCGCTTTCATGGTCATATCCTTTCAGTGGAGGGTTTGAAGGCTGACCCAGAAAAAATCAGGGCCATACTGGATATGCTGCAGCCGGAAAATGTGAAATCTCTGCACCGCTTCATAGGATTTGTTACCTATTTGGCAAAATTCCTACCGTGTCTCTCAGAGGTTTGTGAGCCTTTGAGAAGACTTCTGGACAAGGATGCAGTTTGGCATTGGCTTCCTAAGCATGATAAGGTAGTGCAGGAAAGCAAACGTTTGGTCACGGATACACCTGTCCTTAAATACTATGATGTTACAAAACCGGTAACTATTCAAAGTGATGCAAGCAAAAATGGACTTGGGTGTTGCCTGCTGCAAGATGGACAGCCTATCGCTTTTGCTTCAAGGGCACTGACCCCTACAGAGCAAAACTATGCACAAATAGAGAAGGAATGTCTGAGTATTGTGTTTGCCTGCCAGCGCTTTCACCACTATCTTTATGGTCGTGACAAGATCACGGCAGAAACTGACCATAAGCCTCTGATATCTATTTTCAAGAAACTGCTTTTATGTGCACCTAAGCGCTTACATAGCATGTTGCTCAGGTTACAAAACTATTGTCTCAATGTGGTTTATAAACCTGGACCTGAAATGTACATCAGTGACGCTGTTAGCAGACCTACTGCAGCAGGTGGTACATTTGAATGTACACAACACACAGTTTGCATTGTCCAACAGGACCTGGATGCCATGTCACAGATTAATCATTCGGACTATTTAAACGTCACAGTTCAGCGACTGCATCAGATAAAACAGCACACAGAAATTGACGAAAGTTTGCAGGTACTTAAATCTGTTGTTCTGAATGGCTGACCAGATTCAAAGGAAGAGGTGCCATTAATTGTGAGAGAATACTGGACTTTCAGAGACGAAATTGGCATTCAGGATGGCATACTATATAAGGGGCCAAGAGTCATCATTCCTAAATCTTTGAGGTCGGAGATGTTGAAACGCATTCATGCCAGTCACATTGGTGGAGAAGCATGCTATAGGCAGGCACGAGATACCCTTTACTGGCCCAACATGCAGAATGAGATTAGAGACTTTGTTAGTCGTTGCTCAGCATGCAATGAGTGCACAAGCACAACAGAAAGAACCCATGATGTCACATGTGCTGCCCACCTGGCCTTGGCAAATTGTAAGTATGGATTTACTGCGTTATGCGGGGCAAGATTTTTTTATTAATTGTTGATCACTATTCTGACTTTTGGGAAATTGAGCTCCTTCCTGACCTGTCTGCTGAAAATACAATCAGGCGCTGTAAAGTACAATTTGCACGTCATGGCCTACCAGATAGGGTAATCTCCGATAATGGACCCCAATTTGCATGTGAGCAATTCAGAAGGTTTTCTACAGATTGGGGATTTGTGCATGTTACCTCATCCTCGTGGCACCCACAAGCTAATGGCAAAGCAGAATCAGCTATAAAGATAGTGAAGAACCTTTTCAAGAATTCCAAGTATGATGGTAGTGACCCATGGAAGGCCGTTCTACATTGGAGGAACACCCCAACTGAAGGCATGGACAGTAGTCCTGCACAGCGTTTGATGTCAAGGAGACTGAAGACGCCATTGCCTGTGGCCAACAAACTGCTCGAACCTTGTGTGGTTACAGGTGTTCTGGAGAAATTGCGACAGAGGAAACAAATCTCCAAACTGACATACGACATGTCTGCCAAAGATTTACCAGAACTAAGCATTGGAGAGCCAATCCGTATGAAGCCACTTCCTGGCGACAGGACTGGTTGCTGGAGACTGGGTACCTGTGTTCAGCAGGTTGCCCCTCGCTTTTATGTTGTGGATGTGGATGGCAGTCTCTACCATCACAATCGAGTGGATCTGCGAGTGGCAGAACAACCCACCTCACAAACTTATGAGAGTCCTGCACATGATCCTCCGGAGGTGTTCAGTGCCCCTAGTCCCGCTGGACCAAGTAAGCAATATAGAGACAAGGCTACTGTCATATCTGAAGGAAACAATGAGGACAAAATAATGCAACCGCACATACCCATAAGTTCTTCTGTACCAAACACACCAGTCAGGAAACAGGACA